ATAAAAGAATTTGAAAAAGATTTGGATAAGAAATAGACATTACCCTATTCTTTTTAATGATAGTAAGAACTTTGCTATTATGCTCACATAGTGCTTTCACTTACAATTTTTTTATGGTACAATCTGAATGTGTACATTTAATGTTATGGTAAAAATTCAGTTTGTACCTATACCTTTTCGAACGAATTTTTTTATGATACATACAAACTATTTACCTTAACATTATGGTACAAATACAGTTTTGATTTTTTTTTACATCAAACTTCATTCATTTCATTCCAAACCCCAACAATTGGGAAGCATTACAATTGCAATAATGGAGCGACAAGGTCGGCAATGACAATCCATTCAGGAGGAAGGAGATCAAGACGAGAGTTCTTTGCGATCTAATCAGCCAACCTATTGAATCAACGGGGAACAAACTCCATCGAGATCCAAGGAGAAGCACAGAGAATGGAAACCACACGAGCAAGGGTTGCCCGACATTGCCAGGCCAAAGGGTCGGATCCTGTCTCAACGCAATCATCAACCTCTGACAGTCAGATCTGATACATGCTGGGACTGGATCCTGGGCCGCTAAGATAACTGCATTAAGAATCGCAACAACTTCCGCTTGTAACGGAGAAGAACAAAAGAATCTCTCAGCCTTCCCGTCGATAACCTGACCGTGGGAGTTACTAGTTAGCAATAGCAATCCCATATATAAGCCACCATCTGTGCATCGGAAACAAAGGAACCATCGCAATGCACAACCTTACTGAAAGGACTAGGTGGTGATAAGGTCGACGATCGAGAATTTCCTGGCTGAGAAGGCAAACCAGCTGAACTAGAAGAGGGGAAAGTTGAGGATACAGTCCTACCTTCTTGAACGTTCCGGACATCTTGTTAAGCTAAAATTGCCACAGCGGGTGGAGAGAACGCTCTACCATCAAAGACCATACTATTTCGAGCAATCCAGATATTACAAAGGGAACACATAATCTTGATGATCTGGTCAGCTGACAACCTGTCTTTGAGCCCAAAGAACCAACCCGCAAAACAAGAGTCAGCCGCAGGGAGCACATTCAACAAGTCAAGCTGAGACCAGGTCTCAAGTGCCTTACAGCAATGGAACAAGCAAAGCAAATTCAGTTTTGTTAAAAACACGCTTTTTGGGACATGTTCGTATCGGATTGATACTTGGTATTTTAGTGATTTGAGAGATTAGGGATTGAGAGTGAAAACTTGGGAAGAGTAATTGAAGAATGGCCGGCGACCGGGTTAGGGAAGAAGATGAGATTGAGAGGAAGAGGTATTAGGGTTTAGAGATTATATTTTCTTAATACTTGATTGATTATTAAACGAATAACAACGTACACTTATACATAGGAAAAGAGTAGAAAACCTAATAATAAATCTAAACTTAACAACCAAGTAATGATTTATTCTAATAATTATCCCTGATGATAATGATAATAGAAACCGTGGAAAATCATTTTTTACCAAGTTTGCACTACCTCTACTTTTGTGTACAAATATCTTTATGATACAAACTCAATCTATAGCTTCAAAATTATGGTTATGAATTCAACTTGTACCCAAAACACCATGAATTACCAGCATCAATTCATCGGACAGCAAATGTGCAACTCATCACAGAAAACGACAAGTTCCTTCCCATTTTTGTTGGTGAAGTGAGTGTGAAAACCAGGTTTGGAGGCATATGTGAAAGAAGAAACTTCCCCAGAATACACATTTTGTTCCATGAAAAATGGTGAAGAAACGAGGGAGGTGCATATGATGGATGGATTGGTGCGGCAATTATGGCAAATGGTGTGGCGGTCCTGGAGCTTGAATTCGGCCCCTTGATTGTTGCAGCCGAATCGACCAATTACCAGAGCCCTACCACCATGTGAGACTCTTTGCGTTGTCAATTGAAATAACCCACAAGTAGAACGAAGGTTGGGTTTTCTTTTTGCGATCCCCAGCAATGGTTTTGCCAATTGGTGAAAAGCTTGAGCCAGAAATGTGCATTAAACAAAACCCTAGTTAGTAGTGCATGTGTGTATGCCCGGATCCTTAAATGCGCCAGACAAAGATTTGTGGGTTGGACCAGGCCCATTATTGATTTTCGTTATGGGCAAGGCATGGGTTGTGAGGATAATGATTGAGTAGGAAATCCATTTTAGCCATGAAAGTTCTAAGCATGAATTGCTTTGGAGTGGCATTGTTTCTCTCCACTTCCTCATCGTGTACTCTTGTCCACTCGGTTGAATTATTGTGGGTTTTTAGTGACATTTGTTGTGTACCTTTGATCTAGTTGGTGTCTAAATTAGCAATGTGGATCCACTTTAATGGCCTAACAAAGGATGGATGAAGAATAAGGGCAATGACTCGAAGGATGAAAATTAAGGGCAATCAGCAAGATCCTTTGGAATAGGTTACGTTACGTCTCAATTTGATCAAATTATTGTTGATGTGTATTTTTCATTAGTGTTTTGTTTGGGTACTCATTTGTTATTATGCAGCTTAACCCTAATTATACGTAGAAGAGTATTAGTAGGCCTTTGTGCGACTGCTCCTATAACTTATACGAGACAGCTTTCTATTATGTTCTTTGATAGTGAAAACCCAACTCGAGTTATTGGGAGCAACTGAGTTATGACATGGTATCATAGCTGGTTTGTCCTTAAGGTCACGTGTTCAAGTTCTATGACCCCCAATATTAATCGTTGTCTTCAAGCACATGATATGGCAGGCCTGTGCAAACTTCAAGTCCATGAATCGACTTTCGTTTGAGGGGGCGTGTAAGGAAGTGGTTAACTCATGTCCACCCCCTACATGTGACAACCCCATTTTAGCCACTCATTTCTATTCTTCCTCCATTTGGCAGGGCCTGATTAGTACGAGGAGTATTATGTACTTCCGTTGGCAGTCTCTCTCTCCCCTCACCCTCTTTGTCGATCTCTCTCTCCCTGTCTACCTATGTCATTATCGATCTTTCTCTGTCTCGCTCATCGCAGGTCTCTCTCTCGCGTTAGCGGAATAGCCGATTCGATCAAGGACGGGTAACCGATCGGTCACACACATCAATGATTAAAAAGATAAAAGTGGGCATTGTGGTTAGGGTATCATGGGGGCAGGCAGGCAGGCAGCAAATGCCATTGTTTTGGAGGTGAGCTAGCGAGTGAGAGAGCGAGTTGAAGTGAGTCCGCTATTGGTGTGGGTTTCTTTTCATGGGGAAGAGTAAGGAGAGAGTGGAGCTTGTCCCACAAAATGGTTGCAAAAACTTAAGACCACCATGTGCTTGCCTTGCTTGTTCCCATGATTCTTCTGCACATTCATCCTCCCTTTTCCCTGCCCTTCCTTTAATTAATCAACTCTCAAAAATTAAAACTACAATTAATAACACTTTTTATTTTAGATGTATCATACTTATCATTATCATTTGAAAATTGTTACAACTAATTTGCATATTTTGTTAAATAGATGATTTATAAACCTGCATCTTGCATGTTGTATAGTGTATTTGCAAACTTACGAACTCTTCATTAATATTTACATACGAGATATCAATATTGTACTCATTTGAAACTCAGAATGTAACATATATATACATATTAATCGTATTATTATTTTAATATAAAAAACTACTCTGGTTCATGCAAAGATTCCATCTGACATCATTTGAAAATAATTTGTTTCCACATAATATGTTTTAAATAATCTGCAAGTAATAATTGAGATAATGGCACCCTCAACACCCCGCATCCCAACTATTAATCGCAATATTATATCTAATCCACCCTTATGGAAGTTACCAACTGAAAGCCCTTCGTGTCCTGTCATTAACGTTTATTTATTTTTAGAAAACTAATCCTAAAGTTGGATGCTTAAAGCACTGCTTTTTTTAGTTATGTTTCTTTGGATTTGAAAATGGCCACTGCCAAGGCTCCACACAACCACTCATCGAGATTGACAGTTTCATATTTCTTCTCATATAGGAATCAATTAATTAATTATAGGGAAAGGTAATTTCAGTTGCTAATTGGGCTTGTTATTTGTTAATTGACCTACCTTTCGGCAGTTAAGAACTCGATTTTCTAAGTACTGCTTTCCCAAATTTGTACTTCCCACCTGTTGTTTTAGCGACTATGTCGGTGGTAGCTTATGGATACTTCAAGAAACTTAGAATTTTGCTACCGTACTATTAAAAATTGTGAGTTGGCCTCATTGGATTGGGCCATTGTTTGATTTCAATCGGTATATGAATCTAACATTAATTTTGCAGATATCGCATGTTTATAACGGCTCGATTCTGAATAACTCAAACTCGTTGATTTCGAGTGAACATGTTAACCGAGTTGGAAAAACTTATTGTTTAGTTCAATCTATTTATAAATTGGGTTATCCTAGTCATGGGAATACCCTTCACATGCACACACAACGGTGAATCTAAGGAACTGAGCGAAGGTACACTAATAATATGGCTGCCCCTAAAAGCTTTTGTAAAGGCAACCAAATTTTTATTATTATCTCCACAAACAATCGAACTAAGCAAATTGTAATCAATGCATACTTTTCCTGTTTAATAAATTTGGCAAATATTTGTCTGGTTTGACCACCCTAGCATCCACAAGGCTGGCACCACAGTCAGTGTCTGTTCTAATGCTTCCAATTTTCCACTTAATCAAAGTCAGAGAATAATTAAACTATGTACCATCTTTTTTTTATGTCTGCTTCTCATAATCAAACATTCATTAAACAATTCCATTAATTCAAGAAATCGAAAATCTGCAAGTTACGAACTTTGTGACAGGTCACATATCTTTTTATTAAGATTTACTTTTTCATTTTGTTAGTTGTAATAAAAGTTACTGGCGCAGTTCACGTACCTTTCTATTAAAAGTTACTGACAACTTATTTTGCGTCATGAGAGTAGTGTAAAAAAATAAAAATATACCAACTTATAAAAAAAGAAGAAAATCTTTATTTATTGCATTCCATTCCATTACATAGTATCATCCATTGACAAAGCCCACAGTACACACACCACATTTCTTTCTTTATCATTCACTCCCACACACTTTACTTAAACCACTCTAAATTAAACCACATTTCCCTCCAACAATCAAGAAGATTAAGAGACACACACACTAAGTTAATTAACCTCTCTCACGTTTTTACTTTATTACTATATATCCATGACACCAGCAATTTTATTAATTACTTTCTTCAAGCTATGGCAATTGGACCCAACTTGACATTAGAATCCACGGTCTTGATGAGCTCGAACCTCGGCTCCTTGGCCTCAAACTTGAGTCCAGCATAGAGCTTCATGTAATCCTCGAACACGAACTTAGGGTAGCTGATGCTCTTCTTCTCCTCTTTCTCCAAGAGCTGTGGGGCGGGGTAAATCACTGCGTCGCTCCCTGGGTTGTAGAAAGATGCAATCGACATCCTCGTCCCGTCGGTTTGTGCTACCACCCTGTGCTCCACACTTTTGTACTTCCCATTCGTAATTACCTCAATCTGATCTCCGAGGTTAATGACGATGGAATGGCGCATTGGGGGCACGTCGATCCATTCCCCGTCCTTCAACAGCTGGAGGCCGCTGACCTTGTCGTCCTGGAACAACAAGATGATGCCTCCGGCGTCGGTGTGGGCCCGAAGCCCCTTGATCAGGTCGGGCTTGGGGCAGGGAGGGTAGTTGCTGACTTTGGTCCCGAAAGTGGGCAGCCCCTTAGATCCATAGAAGGCCTTCTTCAAGTAACCCTTCTCCAGCCCAAGATTCTCGCACAGCAAATCCAGCAGCTCCTCCGCCAGCTTCTCCAATTTCCCGGCAAACTCCTTCATCACTTTCCTGCAAATTGGAGGGAAATCATGTCAGTCAAATAAACCCCATTTCAGATTCCGGATGCAGGGTTTGTTTTGCTTACCTGTATTCATCCTCGAGATCCGGGATTTCGTTGATGTTGGATTCAGGGAGATGGCGGAGGAAGAAGGTGGATTCCCAGTCCATGTCTTTGATCTCTGAGTCGACCTCTTCCAGACCTTTGCTCTTCACCAGCTCCTTGAACCTCTGCTCCATGCATTTCCTGTAATGCTCCTTTGTCATCCTCTCCACCGTGTCCAGAAGCTCCACTTGGATTGGATGATTCAGAATCTACACCCCAATCAAAATCAGTAAGTAAAACCCAGAACCCTCAATTTCTCTGTTTCAGAAACAGAGCAGAAACAGAGGAGGAAGAAGAAGAAGAAGAAGAAAAAGAACAGAGGACGAGAGGGGGGAAAGCAAGATTTGGGTAAAAGCTGAAAATGGGTACCTCGAAGAAGCCCCAGTTTTCACAGGCGTCTTTGATTTTGGCCATGGTGGCGGCCCTCTCGTCGCCGTTGAGCTTCTCCATGTTGATAATTGGGAACTCCATTGCTGATCTCTCCTTTCTCTTTTGTGTGTAACACTCTGTTTTTGGGTATTGCTCTGTTTTTGGGGAAGTAGGTAATCTCTTGCTAATGGTTGTTGCTTGGTGAGTTTTCTGTGAGAAATTAGGGAGGGGGAAGGGAGGTATTTATAGAGGTCTGAGGAGGAAGGGGAAGTGATATAGAGAGAGGGAGGGAGAGGACATGAACAGTTGTAAAGTGGGAAGTGGGTTTTTCTTCTTTTTTTTTCTTTTTTTTGTTGAGTCAGACAGAGAGGGTATGAAGAATATTTTTCCAGGAAGAAAAAATATGAGGGGATATATTTAAAAATTATATTTTTTTGGTTGAATTATTTGAAAATTATGTTTCTTAAAATGGGAATATTTTGTTCTTCTATGTCATTTTGGGTTGTGATTATGGATGTGATTAGAAGAGTCTGCTATCTTTGTCTTGAACTAAAAAAAAAATAAAAATAAAAACAGAGCAGGTTTTTGAGGACAAGTAAACGGCAGCTTCCTTGTTCTTGTGTTTGTATTGGTGTTCTATAGGGATCGTATGAAACCGTCCAACACATTTTAAGAGTATGGATTCTTCAATCTTAACAAGTAACGGACACAGTATGGATTTGAAGTTTAGTTTTAAGTTAGGGATTTTGTTTTTAATCTTCACATTGTTATTTATGGTGATGTAAGAGCAATTTGTCACTTCAGTAAGGATCACTTATTATTATTTGATTACCATAAATATTTTATCAAACTATAAATGAAATCTTAATCAAAATAATATATATTCTTAAAAATATGACACACTTAATTTTGTAGATTTTGCAAGGTTTGCAGGGGTTTTTTCCTACCTATAATTTTCCTTATTTATTACATTTACAGGTTTGTTTCTTATGACAAATAAGGAAACACATTAAATGTGCTACGGATCCCGTTCCCATTAGTCTTATAATTTGGGCATTAATTAGGGATCCATTAACATTTTCACAGACAATTGGATTCAGGAAATCTATTCTGATTATAGATTAGATTAGACAAATTCATGGTGTGAGGTAAATCCTTTTTGTTAATAAAAGAGACACTTGTACGGATTCATATCGTTGGCCCATGCATGATCACCAACTAGAGGCGGCTAAGGCTTAATTATAAAACTGGAGCTATCAACAGTTACAATTCCCCCTTGTTATATTCGTAGAGTATTGTTAGTGTACATACAAAATCACGGCGGCTTCCACACAATTATCCCTTGCTACGAAACTTCCTCTTTTAGTGGTGACATAGATGCGTTTCAAAAGGGGGCTTCCAATAGCTCCATTTGTGACACCAAACGAGTTTAGTAATGAAAAATCTACTTGATTTTATTCCATGGAAGTCTAAACCTATCTTGCCATATTTAAATCAATTGTTAGGATTGAGATTATCTTAAAGGAAGCGGTTTTGAGATCTTATGTCAAATTTAAATCATTCAGGCGAAGAAAATGTTTTGATTCACGTTTTTAATAGGCTAATGTCTTGATGTGTTTACTAAGTCTAGCTTTTTAATCAGTAACTGCGGAATTTCATTATATGTATATCCTCTCAAAATGATTGTTGGATGATTATCTGATTATTTTTGTAAAAAAAAAAGTAGAAGGCAAAAATGAACAATCACGCAATCAACACCCGATTTCTGTTGTTCGACAATAGTTCTTATATCTGGAATGAATATGATATTTTCCTTATTGTAGCTAATGTGGAGTTGTCTTATACCTAGAGAGCTTAACCTTTTATAGTCACAACATACTTAAACTCTAACAAATAAGAACACAAACCACATTTGGAAAAGTGTCTTCCCCTCCAAAAACTCCTTCCACAAGACGTGGCACGAGGAGAATTCCTTTTCCTTCTCATATTTGAACTCTAACCTAGCATGTTAACCTGATAAATTTTTATTTTATTTTATTTTTTTTATACCCAGGAACCTCAGCCCCACGTGCCATTTTGTGACAGCGGGTCCTACTAAACCTGGGGGCCACCTGCATTTAATTTGACGCCAACGGGGCTTCGCCCCCAGCAGCCTTGTACTTCCGGGAACACCAACGGGCCTCGCTTGGATTCGAACCTGGGATCTGCAACTCCCAAACCTTCACTGTTGCGGCAGCTTTACCGTTAGGCTATCTTACCTTTGGTATGTTAACCTGATAAATGAACCATCTAAAATAGAAAAAATCCACCTCGGCTAATAAATATTGTGCAAATTTTAATAGGAGATGGAACGTTTATTACTGAAAATTAAATTTAATGCGTAAACTTAGTATTCAATGTGTATTTCTTAACATTTTCATTTATTGAAAGCATTATCTATTAAGTGGGAAGTGCTAATGGGGCATGCTAATACTGTCAAAGCCATTGCTAAAGACTTTGAGAGAACCAATTGGCTAATAGGGTTGCTCGTGTGTTGCCTTCTATGATTGGTAAATCACATTATGTTTTTGTTAGAAACAGACTCGTTAGTGACATGATTCTCGCCTTGCTTCCGAGCTGCTTAAGGACTACCACAAGAGAAGGCCATCTCCCCTAGACGTGTAATCAAAATAGATCTCATCAAACTATTCGATTCGCTAGATTGTGACTGTTTGTTTCAAGTTTTACCTGTCATGAGGTTCCCTCTTCAGTTTATGGCAGTGACTAGAGGTTTTGCCACAACTTTAATGATTAGTATGGCTTTGAACAGAGGATTTTATGGATATTTTGTAGCAAAGTGAGGCCTTCAACAAGGAGAACCTTTGTCTCCGTAGTTGTTTGTTGTTGCTATGAAACCATTCTCTTGTTTATTGTTTAAGGAAACCCACACTAGTCAAATTCCCTTTCATCCTCTATGCGAGCCACTAGAGATTATTTGCATATAACCTTCTTGTCTTCGCCCATGGCTCATTTCCGACGGGGAAGATATTAAAGGGTTGCTTAATTAACTCATTTTACAAGTTATCCACTCTTTTTCCTATTCAAAGATCAGCCCTTTGTTTCTGTGTTTTCACATCGAGAATTCTTTGCAGATGAAGAGATGTCAAAGGGGCTTCTTACTTCCCAAACAGACCCTCCTACATCTATATATAAACGCTGGTTTATCAAGAATACGCAAGAAAAGCACTTCGTAGACGTTGATGCAATCCTTCCGAAAGCAAAATTTCTGTGGTGGTGCCTCGAATGAAGAACAACATATCATCTCCTCTTACTCAAGGTTTCCCGTGGTAGAGCTACCTAGTGTCGGATCCAGGAATTCTAAATAGGGGTGTCCTATATAAAAAAATTAAATATTAGAATTAAATTAAATACTTATTAAATATGAAAATATCGTACTAGTAAAAATAACATTAAAAGTTCGAACGTTTTTCGTAAAATGATAAAATAAATTCGGTGTCTATATTGCTCAACAAATATCTCTCGAATAAAAAAAAACGGTGTATATTATCATACATGTGTGGGATATCCTTTATGAGGTAGGCTTCATATGGGTTGCGTGAATAAAAGATATAAAATTAAGGGTATGAATTTGTGAGAAGTAACACCTAATTCTGTTGCATTTTGAATTTGGACGAGGATCCTGAAATGTGGAGATTTTACAAGTCCTTTTTTTGTTGATACATGTGATAAAAGGGAAGATTTAACTTGTGTTCAAACTACAAATTCTACTCATACCCATTTGAATTTATCGCTTATTGTGCTACTCCTTAGTTATCTTTCAACCACGACATTTTTTTGGTGGGCTCTTATGTCTTAACCGCAGCAGCTATAATGAAAGATCTTAGGGGGAAAAAGAAACAAATAGTATTTTTCATGTAAAATATTTATTGAAAATTCCGAATGGTATATATATTTACTGTGTTAAAAAGGAATTTCTCCCACCAATTATTATGGTTTGTCCTTTCACTTTCACTTCTGAATCAGGTAGCTGGCTCAGGCTTTACGTTAAGATTGGTCCACAAAAAAAGAAGAAGAAAATAGTTCCGGCAAACAAGGCTTTTAAAATGAAAGAAAACAAAAAGGTGGTGCGGTGGCTCAACGGAGGAAGCTATGCCCTAAATGCCAATTCATGGCCCTGCCCTTCGGGGTCTCCCAAGGCCCCAGCAAGTCCCAACCCAAACCCAAGCCTGCATTTTTGGACCCCATTTCTGTTGGCTCATTATTATTTGAACTCTTTCATTTGGTCAATTCTCCGACCTCCCCAATACCAAAATGGAAAAGAAGCCCTCTCAGTCTCCCCACATCAATTTTTATGTTAATTCTAAGAGTCTAAGTGAATATCATGTTTATAGGTTTTATGGTTGAAATCGAATAGCTAGTTTTGGATCAAGCTCACATAGATTTATTTATGGGTATCTTCTCAAATGACATCGTACTAATTGGATTTGGTGGACACTTACATATAAGGCTCTATTTCCTTGTATTTTTTGTCCGAAACTTGGATTGTCCCATAACGATCCTCTGGTCAAGACCAAGACCACGAATTTCGTGTCCTCCTCTCAACGATTATCTTAATCCTCCAGACACCTTGTATCAACAGGCTTTCCACACAAGGATTTACAAAATGCATACCTCCATTGATATGCTTGAAAAACGAATATCACCACTTGACCTGCCAAAAAAACACATATGTCAGATCCCTATGTCACCAAATGAGGGTCCACCTAACTAATATCCAAAACACCAAACCAGATTCTGATACCATTTGTTGAAACCGAATAGCTCCATTAGTACGATATTGTCCGCTTTGGGCCAAACCTGCATGGATTTACTTTTGGGTATCTTCCTTAAAGACCTCGGACTAATGGGGCTTGATGGACACTAATATACAAGGATCCATTCCATTGTATTTCCGATGTAATGTTTAGATTCTCTCATAAAAAATATTATTTATGAGAAGAAACAAATATTGTGATTTGTTATATCGAGAACTACTTCTTATCAATGATTCGAGTCGTTAAGGAAAATTCAAGTATAGATCTTTATTTTTTTCAAATAAAAGTTAGAAAATAGGTTTGAAGTTTATGCATGCTCACTGTATATGGGACATCTCGATTAAAGCCCCCCAATACCATGTTGACAACTAGTTCTCCTAACAAAT